AATGTGAAATAGGAAGAAAAGGGGCAAAGGGAAAGGGGAATTGGGAGGAGTAGGGGGAAAGAAAGAAGGGAATGGAATTCATATGAGAAAATGGAAAAATGGAAACAAAGTCTTTGTAAATAAGGAGCAGTGGAGGGGTTGAAGGGAGGGCAGGGGAATGGGGAAAAATAAGAACCAAGAGAGATTATGTAAAGGTCCAAATTTCCAATGATGAATGTCATTATACTGTATGCCTAAAATGTACCAATAAAATTAATTTAAAAAAAAGAAAATGGATTGACAGAAACAAGTTATTCTAGGTGTCTTTGGTATTGCGTTTTGCTTCCCAATTGAGCTGTTTCTAAAACTATATAGCCCCAGACACCTTCAGCACTCATGAGATTCTGATTCCAAGTCATTCGGTTAGGTGGGAGGAGCCAGCAACTTTGCCATCTAGCTCAGGAAAACACAGCATCTCTGTGTGGGCTGGCCTAGTGTTATTACTCATATCTGCTTCCATCTCCATGTGAGAGGACTGCTGTATTCATCCTGTTAATTAGCCTTGCTTGATGAGCATGTAAACAGGAGACTTCCTTGTTAGAAATCTTGTTAGAATCCTTGCAATGCAGTACACTGATTCTTCATCTTATTACATTTTGATGCATGCATAGGATTCTTTGGCTGGAGATCTTTTATTACCACATTGACAAATGGACCTGTTTCCCAACCTGCAGTAAATAGAAGTGCCTCCTTTTACAGAAAGGGTATTCTTTATAAATATAAGATGAAATATCTGTAGGTCACTGAGTTTGGCTGAATCAGTAATGTGTTGTAAGTAGTTGGTTGCTGACTTTGCCTTCACTGGGCTGATGAATCTTTCCAAAGAGACATCAGGAGCACATGGTTATTGAATGGGTGAGGTCCAGTGGAGTGCTCCATAGTTATACAGAAGTTTGTTTGTTTGTTTGTTTGGTACCGGGATCGAACTCGGGTAAGCTAAATCCCCGTCCCCAGAAGTTTGTATTTTTAAAGGCATGTCGGAACAGCCCCTTAGTGAACGATCTACATGCAAAGCAATTTGATGTTAGCATCTTTATTGGCTATAGGTAGCTGAGTATGGCACCCAGAGGTTAAATGGTTTGCGGGAGGCCACCCAGTTTGTGGTTAAGCCAAATTTAGAACATGGTTCTAAGTAGCTTCTGATTTCCAGCTTTATGCTGAGGCACAACACACTGTACCCACACGCTGAAGTTCACTTTGTCAGTAGAAGGAACGCTTCATAGTTTGACCTGTCTGAATATGTTATTACTTTTTTTTGGTACTGGGGATCGAACTTCTTGTGCTTGTGAGGCAGGCGGCAGCACCACTGAGCTAAATCCCCGGCCCTGTTATTACTTTTTATTAGTGAATTCAAAACAAAATGAGGAGAGCAGGAAGAGGCACTTAATTACAGAAATGAAACTCTAAGGGCAGTAGAACCCAGGGAAAAGTTGAAATTCCAAAAAGAGTAAGGTTGGACAATGGAGCCCAAAAAATGAAAAGCAGAGGTTGTGCAGGAGGAGAAGTAAGACACTGTGCCTGTGGTCAGGTAGCTCAGAACTTGGAATGGGATCTGGAGAGACTGGCTGATTGTGAAAAACCTAGAGTGCTAGAAAAGCCTGAGCAAATAGGAAAGGTTCCCCAAACTGGACAAAAGCATGGAGGAGTTAAACAGCAACATTGCATTTACCAGGTGGCCAGGTCATGAAAATCTCTGAATGTCATGCTAAGGAATAACACATTCATTCAGCATGTATCTATTTAGTGCCTCTGTGTGTGTGCCAGGTACTATTCAGTGGTATGTACTTGGGATATCTCAGTGAATAAAATGAGTATACATATCTGGACTCATAGAGCTTCTATTTCAGTGTAGAGAGAACACTAAACATTAAAGAAATAAATTAGGTGGTATGTTAGAAGATGGTAAGTGCTTAAGGGAAAAGGGTACCTCAAGCCAGGTGACCAAGGTTAACACCAACAGTAGCTAAACCATGTTGATTGTACCCATGACATGATGAGAACGTCACTTTGTACCTGGGGACTTTCTCCCCAAAACATGCATCCCTAGTCTAATCCAGAAAAAAACAAATAAATCCCACGTGAGGGGCATTTTCTAAAATAGACCTGTACTCAACCTGTTAAGGTCATCAAAAACAAGCAAAATCAGAGAAGCTGTCACAACCAAGAGAGGATAAAGAGACAGAATTACTAAATGTCATATGGCATCCTGTAGGATCTCAGAAAAGAGATGGTAGAGAAAAATTAAGGAAATCTGAATAAAGCGTGGACTTTATTTTATAATAATGTATCAATATTGGTTCTTTTATTGTTATAAATGTGCCATACTAATGTAAGATCCCATAAAGAGGAGATTGGGTATAAGATATACTATATGTGTAATGATTCTGAAGATCTAAAACTTATCTAAAATGAAAAGTTTATTTGAAAAAAAGAGATTAAGAGTCCATGGTGGAGATACATGTTAAAATTTTAAATAGTTTGGTCAGGGTAAGTCACATTGAGAAAGGAACATAAACTATCGCTTAGAGAGAAAGTTGGCTGTGTGGGAAAGCCTGAAGCAAAGCCTGAAGGTGAGAGCATGTCTCCTTGTTTGGAACCAGCATGATGGTGCACATGGGCCCTCTTACTCTCTCTGGGCCTTGGTGTCCTCACCTGTGTAAGGTTGGGGTTGGGTTGAAAGATGATTTCAAAGGTTGCTTCCTTGTCTGACATTCTGTGATTTTATTTTATTTTTTAAATTTTTTAATTTTTTTGGTACAGGGATCAAACTCGGGACCTTGCACTTGCAAGGCAGGCAGCAGAACCACTGAGCTAAATCCCCGGCCGTGTGATTTTATTTTTTAATATTTAGTTTTTTTGCTTTTTTGAGACAGGTCTTGCTATGTAGTTCAGACTGACCTAAAACTCTGTGTAGCCCAGGCTCACCTCCAATTTGTGGTGATCCTCCTGCCTCAGCCTTTTGAGTGCTGGGATTATAGGCATGCACCACCACTCCTGACTATTCTGTGGTCTTAGACCATGTGGGATAGAAGGGCTGTACAAGATAGAAGGGCTGGCCATCATGGTTATGTGCTTTTAACCAGCCTGCGAGTGCTCAAGCAGAGAACACAAAAAGTATATTCCTAGATACTTTGATTTAAAAAAAGGGAAGAACCACTTTGTAGGTATTTACCCTCTGAGAATGAATTCGAAACAGTAGGTAAGAAGAGGAATAGCTATAATTTAATGCTCTGTGTCTTGGTGCCTCTTCTATAAATGGGATGGGGGGGGGTACTGGGGAGCCCAGAGCCTCACACAGGCTAGGTAAGTGCCCTACCACCGAGATACATCTCCACTTCTTTCTATTTTGAGTCAGGGTCTTCTGAGCTGCCCAGGTTAGCCTTGAGCTTGCAATCCTCCTGTCTCAGCCTCCTGAGTGGCTAGGATTGTGGTGTGTGCCACCATGCCAGCCTATAGTGGGAATCTTGTACTTTGCTAATGTTCATTTGAATTTTCAGAAAAGAACTACAAGTTATAAGATTTACTGTATATTTCTTTTTCTCAGTCTTTGGTGCAGATGCAATTGAAAAAAAGTCCCAGATTTCAGAATTATAGAAGTAAAACCTTGCTACACAGTTCAAGAGACAGAAGGCCTAACTCTACTCAGGGGAAAAAATAGCAACACTATTTGCAGCTAATTTTATGAAGTACTAACATAATAAATATCAAAATATATAAAAATAGACAAATTTATAATTATTAGCACTTTACGAGGGAAGAGGCTGCATACCCTTATTACATCTAAAAATGAAGGTCTGTATATACTGCTTTAATTCACACACATTAAGCAATGTTAATTGATGCTGCTGATTTAAATGTAATTGTTTAATGACCTTAGTGCTAAAAAATTAGTTACCTATCAAACTTTTGAAATTTTTGAAAAGAAATCACATCTGTCTGGCTTTGCAACAGTGTAAAATGATGCTATTAACTGTCTAGTTTTACTTAAAAGCTGTGAAGGAAAAAAATACCTTTGCCTAGCTTTTTTTTCCTGTGGCTAAAGATACACAGATATATGTGACTGTTAGGCCCTTGAAATGTGGCTAGTATAACCAAGGAACATTGATATCACTAAATTGAGATTTAAATAGCCATATATATGGCCAGCGTCTAATATATGCAACTGCTTACTGTCAAGATTGGCTGTAATTTGGCCTAATCATGGAGATCTAGTATTTATTTCTCAGAAGGAGTGGTAGCGCTCATATAGGATTCTTTCTACCCAGCCGGAACTGTAAGGTTTAGGGCTTGAGGTCTGGAAAAAGGAAAAGATGAACTAAAGTTTGCCACTGAGGCTCTTCAACATTCTCTAGGATAGACCTGTACTCTGAGGCCAAACCTGATGTCTTGGGGAGTTTGGAGCCTGAAGCTTCCCAAGAAGACTGGGGGAATTTTGAAGTCTGGAGTCATCTTTAGGCATTATGTAATCTAACCCAAGGAAGTACAAGCACAATAACATTCAGTTTTTATAGAGCCTCCTCTACTTCCCCCTTGAACTTTTAAGCCCAACAGATCGTCAGTGCTTTCAAGATTTGTAAAAGGACTCAGGCATTTATGACTTCCAGACTGATTATGATATAGGGCTCGCCACAGAATCCCTCATCCCTTTTGCTTACTATTTTAGGTCAACATATCAGTTTGCCAGGGCGGTCTTTTTACAGCTGCTCTCAAAGGCTTCTCTGTGTGAGTAAAAGCTGTTGACCTTATTTCCCCTTATCAGGTGTTCTGCCCAGCTCTGTGTAAGTTCTCATACACAGTGGGGAGTGGGATGTGCTCCTGACAACAACACTTCTGTATATGTGTTGTCTCCCCTTGTGCATGACTGCCGTGGAAGAAGTGTAAAGATGAGAAAGTAACTGGGAAGATTGGTGTACTATAGAACACAACCATATGCTAATGTTGTTTTGTTTACTTTCTTCCAGGATATTAAGGATTGGTATGGCATCACTTTGACAAGAACTACCTTGTTGTCGTCACAAAAATCTCATTGATGAATAAGCTCAAAGGAATATTTATCTCTCCATGGTTCTGTTACGAGCAAATGTTTTCAGTGCCCAGCAAAATACCAACCACTCTCATCCTTGACCTGCTCTAGGCAGCCCAATGAAGCTTCCTTCCAGCTGTTTCCATAGCTCTATTACAGAAGCACCTGTCTTTGTTTGGTGAATGTTTGTGAAGGCTTGCCCTCGACCAGCTTGAGAGGCGGAAGCCTCTTGGAATATAGGACATGGAAGCTTTGGAAGTGGATGATATCAGCCCAGCCTTAGAAGTTACTGAGGATTTCTTTAGTACTTTTGATAGTAAGCTAGAAAAGGCTGTGCAGCAAGCAGAGGTTTATGGGATTCAGGAAGTCCCTGAACTGGTGGGGCATGAGGTACTCAGTGACATAACAGACAATGGTGCTATGAGAGACATTGCCTCCCTGGGCAAGGGGAGCGTGATTTGGGAGCACTGTAAGAGCAGACTGTTAGAAACCAAAGCTCAAAATGTCTTCCCTGCCAAAGAACAGTTTATGGTTCAGAGAGGGACAACTCCAGATAATCTGTCCTGGATGGAACAAAAGGAAGCATCAACATTTAATTTTTTCAACATCTGTCAGCGTCGGAGGGATAGACCTCGTTCTGTGAATGACTTACTGGATGAGACCTCTACTTTCAAGCGAGGGCATGCTCGATCAAGGTCAGATGTTACCCAAGCAGACTGGCGAGTAGTCCTCAAAACCATACCTTTGCAGCAGCAGCCACAGCCACCATTTCTCCAAGGCCCTCACTTCACCAGGCCCTCTTTCCTGTTGCCCTCAGCAAGTAAGGTAGAAGATGCTCAAGGAAATACTGGTATGTTTTAATTGTTATCTGAACTCTATTGAATACTTGTTGATTTTTCCTGGCTCTCTTCTATCAACCGCAGGAGAATGTTACTCTCCAAAATCCACATCTGGCTTTGCTTACTTAAACTCCTTCTTCTGCTTACTTTGACTTTACCTTGTCTCAAGTCAGCATTCTTGTCTTCTCGGGAGATATTTAGTGAAAAGACAACCGTGGTTAATTCTCTCTTGTGGAATACTCTCATATTGAATGTATTTTCCTTTGAGCATTATGTGATACTGCTTATTCACATCAGTAGATTTTATTGGATCATAGATTGGGTTTAGCTTTGTGCTATGATGGATTTAATGATATGTGAAGACAGGATCCTTGCCCTGTAAAACTTTCTCATCTAGTGGAAGGGATCAGACCCTAATGGAGACCCAGGAAGGTTTGTGAGGGAACTTTTGTTTTACTCTATATACAAGTGAGTGGGCTATAAGAGCACAGAGGAAAGAAAAGACACCATAGATTGGACTGGTCAGGAAGGACGTGTAAAGGGGCATGGAATTTGAGCTGGACTATGAAGGACACAACAATTCAGAAGGCAAAGATGATAGGATTATAGAGTGAACAAACCTGAGGAGAAGGTGCTAGGGTGTAGCTCAGTGGTAGACCACTTGGCTAGCTTGGATGTGGCCCTGGGCTCCATCCTCAGCGCCAAGGGTAAGGAGTTGGGAGTGCAGAGGCCAGCAAGCAGACCCTTGTGAGTAGAGCCAAAGATCGCATGGCAAACAGTGGTGGAAATAGCTAGAGAAGATGGTTAGGGCCCCATGTTACAATGGTGTCAAACCTTGTAGACTTTTCAGTGCCAACAGCCCAATGCGGCACATGTACCATAGGCTCACCACCACTGGAGGGCTTTGATTTTCTTTTTTCTCATATTTTATACATGTACACATACACATGTATATGCAAAACTCCTATAATCACATGTGAGCTTGCTCTTCTGTAGATAGAACAAACCATCTCTCCATTTTCCCCACCATTTTTCTTCAAAATAACTTCATTTATCAGTAATAACTGCAATTTTTATTACTGATTCTTCACTTACCTGCTCAGCCCTTAATTTAGATGGCTTCAACTCAAATTAACTGGTATTTTATGGTTTGCCTTACTGCTATATTAGAGTTACTGCATACTTTCATTTCTACTTTTGCTTGGTAGTCCATTGATACATTTAACATTTTAATAAATATAATTAGTTTATAAGTGTAACCCAAGGCAATGATATAGTTTAGTAGGAATATTTAGGAAATCCAGTGTATTTTCATATACAATTAAAATTTCTCCTTTCAAAAATTCTTTTTGTCCCCTATTCAGATTTGTAACCTTTAATTCCTTGTTTTCTCTCATAGGTGCTCACCGTTTTCCATAACATGTAGCAAATGGTGGTGGCCATGGAAGTGAAAGGACAAGGACATTATTAGGAAGCAAGGACATGGTGACTGATTAGATAGTAGGAGACAAACGAGTTGCTGTGACCCGTTTCTGGCAGAACGATAGCTTTACCTTTGAACTGCTTGAGTCCATGTACAAATCAGTACACTCTTTGATTAGCAAGTAATCTCAGTAGTGTATTTTATTGTTTTGTTTCTTAAAATTCATATAGAATTTTATCACTAAGCCCCCTTAACGATTCTAAATCCCTGGTATAACCCAAATGACAAGAATGTCATATTTCCAACTTTTTTTCCTATCTTATTCAGATTGAAAATTGAAGAACCACACCTTAGTTTCTGAAAAGTTATGGACTTTTCCCCTGAGTATTAGACAAACCATGATCATTCTTCAGTAATTCTCAATTTGAAAAGAAATTTAATACTAATTTATATTGAAATAGAAGGTGAGTGGTATTTTGTTTTTGTTTTTGTTTGGTTTTTTGCTTGTTTTTTGAGACAGTCTTGCTATGTAGTCCAGGCTGGCCTTGAACTCACTTTGGAGCCCAAGCTAGCCTTGAACTTGTGTCAGTCCTCCTGCCTCCGCCTCCTGAGTGCTGGGATTACAGGCATGCGCCACAACACCTGGCTAAAGTCGAATAGTATTTTGAAAAGTAAACTGTAACAAATGGCCTTTGCAGGAACTGATGTAATGTATCCCGGCAACCTTTTGCTCATTCATGAGATACACACCCTAACAGGAATTATCAAACTTGTGTAAAGGGTGTGCCAAGTTTCTGACACCTTTTCTTTTTGGTATGCTCTGATGAGGCAGAAATAAGTCATGTTTTTGTGCTCAACTGGTAAAGGGCAGGACAAGCAACAGCCACTATTCTTGGGCTGGGAATAGAGAAGAGTTGTAGATTTATGGCTGATTGCTGACTCACAAACATTTGAAGGGATGTATGTGCATACTAGTCAAAATCAGCCAAGATCTTTGAGTAGAGTTTACTTCAAAACCTTCAAAATTAGCCATCTAAACTGAAGAAAGTCTGATTGTTTCTCTTAAGAAATATACCAGAAGCAGAGATATCTTAGCTAGAGCCGGAGATGAGGCCTCAGCAGATTTGGGGTTGGGCCAGAGCTGTAGACTCATTTATCCACCCACCTGGTGAACATCTGTTGGAATGTTTCATAGGCATCTCAGTTCAGAGTGTCCCAACACGATCCGTAATCCTCCCATCTCCTAGTCTTACTGTTCTTACAACCTCCTCAAAAGAAATACAATTTAGGTAGATGGGTTTACTTTGAAGAGGTCAACTTGATTTTGTGCCTAGCTGTCACTCCATTCCTCGAAGGCTTTATTACTGGTCTTATGTTCTTCACTTGATAATTCATTTTTTATCCTAGCTTCTCCGATCTCACCTTGAGTAGTTTAAAGATTTCTCAAGAGCGGTTCTTCTGCTTCTTGTCTACCCTTTCCTTCTTTGCTACCCTCATCCCCTCTCCTTGCTTCTAGAACAGGAAGTGCAAAGGTCTTCCTTATGAGGGACCTTTGCATCTTCTCCTGCAATTGGTGATAAATAAGTGGCTCTTGAGACTTACTGAGGTAAACTTGGCTCTGAGTACAAATCAAGATAGGTTTTGGAATAACGAAGGCAGCGAGTAGTGGGGTGTAGTAGTAGCTGTTTTGCTGATAGGCCAGGCTCTTTGAAGAAGGGCTTCTGGTCAAACAAGGTCTCATAGAGTTTCAGACATGTTCCATTACTTACTGTCTGGGTAACATAGAGCAGATTTCTTAACCTCTCTGTGGCTCCATTTTTCTTAAGCCATAACATGTGGGATATTTATTGAAGTACAATTTTCTTTAATTTCTTTTGAGCTCTCAGTGAACTTGTATAGGAAAAATTGAGGCACATCAAAGTAATCTCACTAGACAAGGATTGTTTCCTATATTTAACATACTCACTGAAATATAGGAACAGCACAGAGCTGTAACTTTGCCTTTCACCCTCTTGCATGTTAGCCACACAGAAAGCTTAAGTGAGCCAACTCCAAGGATTTGGAGGACCAGGATGAGAGTTTTGGTGTTTGCCTCATTTTTTGGTTGTTTTACTTAGAAACTTGTAGCTGAGTGTGGTGGTGCACACGTGTAATTTCAGCACTCTGAGAGACTGAGGCAGGAGGATCAAAAGTTCCAGCCCAGCCTGGGCAACTTAACAACTTAGATCCTGTCTCAAAATAAAAAATAAAGAAAGGGCTGGAGATGTAGCTCAATGTGAAGACCCTATGTTCAATCCTCAGTGATGGGGGAAAAAAAGAAAAAAAAAAAAAAGAAAGAAAGAAACCTGTGAAAGCATTGTAGAGGCTGCGTTGCCTCAGACACAGGCAGCCCCAGGTCAACTCCTTAGAAGGTATGTTGTGCTAGTGGATGAAGGGTGCTGCCAGCTGGTCTTAGTAAACCACTGGCATGTGGCTTGAATCCAGCCTAATTAGTACCACCTGCATTTTCTGACGATAATTGGATAGTAATGTCAAAAGGTTAGGTCATACAATGATGGGAAGGAATAGGTCTCAGGCAAGGTGGCATCAGAGGACATTATTTCTAAAGAACCTCAAGCTAGGTGATGTAGACTAAAACATCCTCAGGGGCTGCTCTCTTCTTTACTGCTATCTCAGTGTCTGCCATGCCCTGGGGAAGCTCTGTGACTGGGAGCTAGCCCTGAGGGAGGGCCCAGATCTCACCACTGAATGGCTGATTTCTGGTCCTAGCACTAATAATCTTAGTTCTATAAAGACATGCTCTTCACTGTTATCTGTACTTAACCTTCCTCCTCTCTGTATCACTATCATGCTGCTGCTGTTCATTGAGTAATGGTACATAGACTCCTGGGAATTCCCTGGAAGATCACAGAATTCATCACAGAATTATAATCCAAATATTAATATATCTTAAAGAAGAAACAAAGTCCTATGAATACGTGGGTGTTAGATACTATTCATATAGGTATACGTGCGAAAATAGGATATAGACACATATGAACACCTGCACACTTATTAATAAAGACACATAGCAGAGGAAGGTAAGGCTATGTGTAAAGAATATTCAACTAGGATTCAGAAGTGTCTTGGACCACTGGCACACTGACACACATTTGTAATCCCAGCTACTTGGGAGGCTGAAGTAGGAACATTGAAAGTTTGATGTCACCCTAGGCAAGTTAGTTGGGACTGTCTCAAAATAAAATGTAAAGAGGGCCAGGGATTTAGCTCAGTGGTTTCTCCGCCTGCCTCCCAAGCACAAGGTCCCGAGTTCGATCCCCAGTACCAATAAATAAATAAATGAATGAATGAATGAATGAAAAAAATGTGAAGAAGAGCTGGGGATGTAGCTTAGTGGCAGACTGCTTGCCTAGTGTGTATGAGCCTTGTATTCCATTCCTCTTACTACCAAAAAAAAAAAAAAGGAAAGTCTTATCTTGATTTTACTCCTAATTTACTCATAGGTTTGGAAAAATCACTTATAGTTTATTGCCTTCCATTTGTAAATGTCAATTATCTCTCCCATCCCTCCCATCTCTAAAGTCATAT